TATGTACACACACACACACACACAGTCATACCTTGGTTTTCGAACGTCTCAGTTCTCGACCAATTCGGTTTTTGACCAAAATTTTTGAGTTTTTTTGTTTTTTTTTTATGCATCAGATGACGAACAAATTTTGGTTCTCAAACAAACTGAGCGCACTTGAATGCACCATTTGACTCCTCGCCTTCCTTACACGCGGTAGTGACGCTTCCTCGGGTTGCTTTCCATTGTGAGCAGACGTGTTCAGGAAACAGTTTTATTTTAAAAAGAGCGTGGTTTCGCTTTTCGAACAATTTCGGTTCTCGAACAGCCTTCTGGAACGGATTATGGACGAAAACCGAGGTTGGACTGTATATGTATATGTACATATATGTTTAGCGTCGCCTGCAGGTGGCACCACATTTGCCACCCGTTGCTTTGGCGCCCTGTCGGGGCTCGAGCAAATGAAGCCACGAAAAGGCGAGTTCAAATCAGAGCTCAAAATGTTTTTTTTGTTTGTTTTGTCTTTCTCTCACGTGCACGTTCTCTGAGCCATTCAAAGCATTCCAGCGCCTCACTTTGCTGTCGCACATTTTCTTCTGGAGTCAGCGGGGCTCCGTGAGGTTCGAGGTGAAGGCTGAGTGGCAGCTCAGCGTGGCACGCGTCGCCCCAAAACAAGCACAAGCAAAAGCGAAAGGTTTCCAACAGCGACGGGCTTTATTTGGAGGTCGTAAACATTCGGACGCGACGGGCTTGAAAGGCCGGAGGGTCGCAGCGGAAGCGAAGCGGCCGGCCGGCCGCCCGCCCGTCCGCTCGTCTCCTTTTCCGGTCAGCAGGCGACGGACGCGCTTCTTCTCCCCTCGCCTCGTTGGCGGTCTCATTGGCGGTCAAAGTCGGCAAAGGCGGGAAACCACACGGCGTCTTTCCGGTGGGCCGGCGCGCTCCTGCCCGCCGGCGCCGCCGCGCGCCGCCCAACTTTGTTGATGCAGCACACCTGAGCCCACGCCAGCGACATCATGCAGGTCTGACGCACATCAACAAGAAGATCACGTGGAGCCAGACGTCGGCTCAAATGCAGCATTTTCGCCACTGCTTGCCGTCGATTGGGAACGAAGCCCGATGAGTACCGACGGGTTTGAATGTCGTTACCGTGGCGGTCGGATGAGGAGGAGGAAGGCGGGGAGGGCGGCTTACCTGAAGGAGCAGCAGCCCGCCGGCGAGGCCGCCCGCCATTCTGCCGTTTTGCTTGAGCCACTGCGCGATCTTGTCCAAACATCCGTCGGGGAAGACGTCGCGCCGGGCCCGCGACCGCTCCTGCCGCTGCGTCCCAAAGCCGCACATGGTGTTCAGCACCGACTGGCGAGGACACGCAAGGACGGCGGCGTGAGAGCCCCGCGTCTCCGAGGACCGGCCCGGAGCCCCGACCTGAGGGCGGGGCCTGAGGACCCGCTGAGACGAGGTGCTCTCAGGGCTGGCTCCTGAGGATCGGGTCTAAGGACCGGAAGGATTGAGACATCCTAGTGTCTGTCGGCCGTGGACGCGTTTTTGTTTTTTTTTTTGCCTCTGGCCGGTGTGACCCTTCATTTCACGAGTGGTCACCGTGGGTCCCCAGGGCCCATTTGTTGGTCGCTCGCCTGTGGAAGTGCTGGACAGTTGTGCCGCATGCTCCTGCCTGGCACTCGGCATCGCTGTAAGACTTTCTCTCTCTCTCTCCTGCTGACCACTCCACCCCCCTTTACCGCCCACCTCTCCTCTCTCCCTGCCAGCCAACGGCGTCCTTACGAGGGGGCCCATTATTTGGGCCCCGCCGCGTCGTGTTTTTCCAGATGCTTGGAGAAGGGAGAGAGGGTGAGCGAGCGAGCGAGTGACCTGGTTGCCGGGGACGACGCAACAGGAGAAGGGAACGCCGCAGGCCTCCAAGCTGGGATTGGCGTCGGAGCACTGGAAGTAGACGTTCCTGGACCAGTCCTTGTAGCCCTCCACGCCGCAGCACCGGAACTGCAAGCGCACGCCGTCGCGTGAAAGCGCGTTGGCCCGGCCGCGGCGCGCTCCGGCCCGGACGCTCGCACCTTCTTCTGGACAAAGTCGATGGCGTTCTCCAAGTCGCGGTCCTCCCGATAGCGAACGACGGTTTTCATCATCAGACGCTCCGTCCGCTCCATCACCTCCACAACAAAGTTCTTCTCACGTCACCAAGGAAAGCGGCCGTCGCACGTCCCTCCAGTTCTGCACTAAGACACCCTTTGCCCTCACGAGTAGAACGATTCGGCGCGCTAGGAGAACAATGAGCAAGCCCCCCCGCCCTCATGGCCGCATTTGAGCATGCTCAAAATACCACGATGACGTCGTTGGATGACATTTGGCTGCTCCTAGTAGCTCGCTTCTAGTCAAGTTCTAGAGTCGAGATGTGATGCCGCTCGTCGTAGCGCCCAGGGGCTAGTTTTGCCTCCGTCAAATCAAACCTGATGTCGACGTCATGCGCTTCTCATACCCAAGTTTGGGAAGGAGACGCAAGAGACCATCTGTGGAAAAGTGTGTGTGTGTGTGTGTGTGTGATACGGTGCCAGAAATGTCAGTGCGTAAAAAGAGGCAGAGTTTGCGCTTGTGTGAAAGGGAGCGAGCGAGCACACGTGAGAAAAATCCATTTTGCCAGCCCCTCAAGCAAAGGCTCCCTCCGAGGGCAGCGCACCAGCCGAGCGCTTCTTGCAAATCTCTCGCTAGCGAGGACAACCGGAGCGCTCCAAGGCGGACGGACTTGAGAGATACGGCGCTTGAAATGCTGGCGTCCTACCGCGTCGGTGAAGAGCGCCGCGGCGATCGCCGCGCTCAGCTGCAGGAGGAGCAACAGCGCCAGGATGGAGGCGAACTGCCGACAACAGAAAGGGCCCCGTGACCTCAGGCCACGCTTCCTTCGCCGCGCGCGCCCGCGTCATTACCGTCTTCAGCAGGCAGCCGGCGTTGCGCAGCGCGCCCAAACATCCCAGGAACGTGACCAAGAAAGTCAGGGAGCCGATGGCCACCAGGAGCAGGGCGGGGTCCAACGTCAGCGTGTCCACCACGTCTAAACGCACACGCGCGGACGCTTGTTTTCAAGGATTCATTGATTCTGCGCGCGGGCCAACGTCTTCGCTTGCTGGAATGTCGCGCTCCTCTCGAGCGGAAGGTAGCCGGGTCGGACGTCGCGCCCGCGCCGAGCGAGGAAGGGGCGAGTCGGCGAGGCGCCGAAATCAAAGCCCGAGGATGCCGACGACGAGTCAAAATATACGGACGGCGGTCGAGTGACAGCGAGGGGCCGCTCACCTTTCTCCTTGGCCACCTTGGCGTAGACTCCCACCGCAATCAGGACGGCGCTCAGCACCTGAAGCGGAGCACAAGAGCATTCTGGATGACCCGCGTCTGGATGCCATCTTGGCTTGTCACAGCGCAAAGTGTCGACCGAACCCAGTCCAAAAGCCCTCGCCATTGCACCCCGTCCTCTTCCGAGAGTGTTAGCGTTGCCGAGTACGTTCCGTTTGAGTCGGATGTGTCAAATGGCGCGCTCCTTCCAAGTCGCCTGCAGATGAGGCCCGCACGCGCCTCGCGTCTCTTCAAAATGGAATCCTCGCATCTCGTGAAATCGCCGGCATGGGGAAACGAGCGCCCGCCCTCGGACCCTTTGCACGTCGCGCGACCTCAGAGGCGGAGACGGGAGAAGCGGCGCGGCCGGAACGCGCGCCAGAACGGCGCGTCGGCGGCAGAGTCGCCTCCGGCCCTCGCGCAAGGCCGCGGCGAGGGCTGGCGGCGACCTCACTTGGCCCCCTTTTGTTTGGCGTTCCCGGCCGGGAAAGCCCACCCCCGCCCTCCCTCGCCGGTTCCGGGTGTGCGCTCCCCACGATTTGACGCATTTTGCCGACTGTCGGGCTCGCGACGCCCTTCGAGACTCTCATTCGGTCCGCTTGACCCGACCCGATCCCGGCAGCTCTCGGCGGAACTCGCCCGCGCTCCGTCTCCGAAGCCCCCCGGACGCTTGAAATTCGAGTCCCCCGGCAAAAAGCAAACGGCTTTGAAGTCTCCTCGCAGAGTGGCCGTCGGGTCGGCGGCTCCGCTCCGGCTCCAGTCGGAAAGGCCCTTTGAATTGGGGGCGTGACCCCCGCCGCGGAGGGGGAAGAATGGAAAAGGTGCGCGGTACTGACCCAGAAGACGTAGCAGGAGATGAACAAGAAGTACTTGACGCCGCGGTACCCTCGCATGTCGGCGGCCGAGCTCCGGCTTCGTCCCGCTCGCAGGCGGGGACGGCGTCCGGGGCGGAGGCTGCCTGCTGCGCGTGTGGCGGCCTGCTCTGCATTCCTGCTCGCACCAACGCCGAGCGAACGCCTCCCAGGTGCAAAAGTGTGCCGCTGGCGTGGGGGCGGCAACTTGCAACTTTAGCTTTTCTCTTTTGAATAATAAATATAAGAATAATACATTTTATTTATAAGTGCCTTTCAAAACACTGAATGAAAGGTCAACACGAAATCGGGGGTCCCGTTCAAATCTGGAAGGCGACAGACGGCACTTGCTGTTGCCCCAAACCCGTTCGAATGCATTCCATCCACGGGAAGATGGAAACGTGAGGGGGGGGGGGGGTGTGTGTATTTGAATGGAAACAGGAGCACTGTGGAATGCTTTCTCAAAACATCCGTCTGCAAGGCGTGAGCGCCGTTAGTCGTTCCTGGCGGAGGATAAGGAGGGGAAGCCCGCGAGTCGAGCCGGCGCACCAATCCAACCCCCGTTTCTTGACACAACAGCGCACGGCACCAAATACGGCCAGCTACCAAAACGCAGCGCATAAGGCACGGCCGCGGACGAGACCTCGGGACGATGCGGCTCGACGCGTGCCGCTTCGCGGTTGGAACGAAAGCACGATTCCCGCTCATGGTTTGCCCGTCAAGGGCGTTCCGGACGATGCGTCGGCAGGAAGCCGCGAACGGCTCTTTGAAGTCCTCAAGATGTCGCCGGCTTTGTTTTCCGTTCGAGTCCACGAGAAAACGTCAGCCGGGAGTGGCGCGGCGGCCAAAGCCTCGCCCCGGCGACGCGTGACGTCGTCTTTGGCCGGGCCCAATGAGTGACCCGCTTTGATCCCGTCAGACTCCCTCCCCCCGCCCCCTCCCGCGCGGCAGGTGTTGGAGGCTTTAATCGGGTTCTCTTCATCCTCGGCCGCTCGCTCGCTCGTCTTGCTCCGCCGACCCCGTCCGACCCCATCCGGGACATGGGCCTGCTCAGCTTCCTGTCCGCGGCCAAAGAACGAGCCGAGAGGTTCCTCAACGAAAAGAACATCGTCACCGACTTCCTGGGCAAGGTCGAGGAGAAGACGGGAGTCAAGAAGAAGATCCTCGCCGCCGGTACGCTATCGTGCTGCGTGCGCGCGCGAGTGCCGAGGTCCCGAGCGGATTGCCCTAATCCGCTGAGGACGAAGCCGCACGCCACTTGTCGTCTCGTAAGGTGTTAAGCGAGGTGACGCCGCGACGACTCAGCTTATAAACGGCGTCCAGGTCGCACATACGGACGGGAGACGGGATACGCCGGCTGGCGGCGGCAGATTTCTCACCCGACTTTTAATGGGGGTGTGCTTTAGGGCGGTGCTATCCATCAAGAACATTTCAGGAGAGAGAAAAAAATCAATGAAATGGTTTTCACCCTCAGGCGCCGTCTCGGTGACGGGATTCTACCTGGTCTACGGTTACGGCGCCTCCCTGCTCTGCAACCTGATCGGTTTCGTCTACCCGGCGTACTACTCGTGAGTCCCGCAGGAGGTCCTCGATCTGGACCGGAACAGAAGGCCGTTTCATTGCGTGTCCGTAGAATGCGGCGGCCCGGTTTCACGTCCCGGGCGGTCGAGCGGAAGCTTCCGCGAGCTTCTGCCGGTCCGCCGAGTCCATTGATGACGTCTGTCGTCTTCAGAGTCAAAGCCATCGAGAGTCCCGGCAAAGAAGACGACACAAAATGGCTGACCTACTGGGTGGTCTACGGAGTCTTCAGTCTGGGGGAGTTCTTCTCTGACATTTTCCTCTACTGGTTCCCCTTCTACTACGCCTTTAAGGTAGCCTCCTCGCCCCCTCCGCGCGCCGCACTTTCCTCTCGCTCTTGTCCTTCGCCGCAGTGTTTGTTCCTGTTGTGGTGCATGGCCCCCGTGGCCTGGAACGGATCCCGGGTCCTCTACGACCGAGTGGTCCGCCCCGTTTTCCTCCGCCACGAAGCCGCCGTGGACAACATGGTCAGCGACCTCAGCGGGAAGGCCATGAGCGCCGCCGAGAACCTCACCAGGGAAGGTATTGCGGAGGGCGACGCCGAAAACCCAAACGAGTCGCTCCATTCCGGTCTAGACCCGAGTCCCCGGACAACGCGCCTGCTGTCTTCTGTTCAGTTTTGTCCACCTTGGTGAAAAACAAAGCCTTGGTGTCGCCCGATGCCAAAGGTTTGCCGAGTGCGACCGGAGAAAGCGCCGAGAGAAGAAAAACGGCGTCTCCTCCGCGTGAAGAGCAAGAGGTGCGTACCGTCCAAAGTCCGAGCCGTCAAAAACCACAAGCGACGACTCCCAGCTCCTTGAAATGATACCGTCAACTCCCCTTTCAGCCTTTCCTGGGTTGACGCGCAGGTAAGCCGCTCCGCAGTTGGTCGCGAAACGGTGCGGGGACCTACTGTGGACAAAACAGGCCTCGCAAGTGCAGCGAAGCAAACTACTTTCACTTGTTCTTGGCTCCCCCAAAATCCGATCCATCCCGCGTTATGCTCGCATCCCAACCGTTAGCCTGTTGGCGTTTGGGCAGCGATTGAAATGGTAACATTGGAATGTGTGCACTCAGCTTGCGGTGTGAGCGGCGAGAGGAGGCGCGACCCGGTCCGAGGAGAAGAAGGAGCTCCGCGTCGGACTTTTCCTTCCTTTCCTGCTGTTTTCGGACTTGCTCGGAACAGATCCAGCAAACTTGAAAATGTTCTTCATCACCGAGGTCAATTCAAATGAACTTTTCTCCTAGTCATAGAAGATGTTGTCGTGTTTCTCATCATGCGCACGCATAACACTTTTTTTTTCATGAGGCAGTTTTATTTGGGAACGTCTTTCAACCTAAAAAATAAAAGAAATATTGCTCCCCCCCAGACCAACCTTTGCCCACGAGGTTGAATTCACTGAACAAGTCCGAAAGGGAGGTCATCATGTCAAGCTTGGTGGGCTAGCTGTTACTTATTTAGTCATTGTTGGCGTATGCATTTGTATTATTTCTTGAATTTGTAATTGCATTTGGTATGCCAAGTCTAAAAAAAATGAGAATAAAAAAAAAATGATAATGAGGTCATTCTTGAGCATAATTGAAAATGATCGAGCTGATTTAATCGATACAACTGAACGCTGCTCGAACGTGGTGGACAAGTCGCACTTGACGATGAATTGGATCGCGGAAAAGGCCCTTTTCCCTTTTCCGGTATTGCGTGAAAAATAAGAGCGTTGGTGATTTGTAATCGGAGTCCAAATACCTCGTCGGCGGTGATAAACATGTTCGAAAGTAAGAAGCGCGGACTCGAGAAGAACAAAGCGACGGCGCGATGCCGTCAAACGGCGACAAGACTCGGCATTTTGTCAGCGTGTGGCCAAGGCGTCACCTTTTATTTTGAAAGACGGCACCGGATGGTCCCGGCGTCCTTTTTTTTTTTCCGGCACTCGGCTTCAGCTTGTAGGTGGGCCCAAAGGAGCACGCGGGACTGGCGAGCGACCGCTATCGAGACGTCAACATGAGCCCCACAGGTGAGCGCACAACTGGCGTCTCGGGGCGCCTTCGAGCGGCTCTCGAGACTGACGAGAAGCGAACGCGAAAGAGCTTGGCCGTCAAATGCCGGCCGGCCGGCCGGCTAGCTGCTCGATCGTGCTAGCGGCCGCGCGCACTTGATCCCCGAAGCAAACGGACGGACCGACCGGCCGACATTTGACGTCGGGTCCGTCCGTTTTTCCTTTGGTCGGCGGAGCTCACTTTCGATCGTCCACGCCGCGGCGGCTTGTCAAAGTGCACATTTCATTGACGGGTCGACGGCTGGCGAGGGCACGCTTTCGTCAATCGCGGTTTGAAGTTCACGTTGAATTCAACTCCCGGTTTTTTTTT